AAATTTAAAGCCTTCTCTCTGACTTTAAGGATCGTCAGCAGACAACAAAAATTGTTTAGCTCCACTCAATTGTCATTTGTTGTTTTGGTTTGGTTTTTAAAGGAAACAACAAACCAGTTGGTGGCAAGAAACAGCTAAAAGCCAGAATGTTCCTGGCTTAAAGTGGAATATTAAAAGTTTTTAAAGAACATTCTGGGCAAGGTATTGCAGCCATGGCAGATGGCAGACCCAGCAATGGACTGTGTTCGAATAACTTAAAAATAGCGCCAAAAAGTTGAAAAAAATGTAACTTATAATCAAATAATTTTTCATCATTTTATTTGGCAATGAAACATTAGCAAAGTGCCCTGCGAAAATTCTCCACCTGCTGGCGTAGTTTTCGTGCCTCTTTTCTATTCCTATTAAAGTGCCTGCCACCGCCGAATGCCACTTGACGGCAATGTGGCAATAAATGAAATATAAATGAGCTTGGAATTATGCGAAATGTTGTGGCATAGAAGTCCTGCCACTTTACCACATACCCCCCCCCTGCCACTTTGGCCGGTACATTTCTCACTACCTTTTCTGCTGCCTCCTTGCCCCCCGCCCACTCTGCTGCTTACACCACTTTTTCTATAGTTTTTCCCATTCTTGTCCTAGTCCTAGCTGCACTTCCGTGCTCCAAAAATGTGCCAGAACAACAAAAACAACAACAACACGAGGAGGAGGGGTAATAATAATAATAACAACAACGGGATAAGAAAAAGGGTTGGGGAGGGTGGGAGAGAAATATTTTTTATATAGTATAAAAAAAATGCACACAATTTTGTAGCTGGCAGCAACCAACCTGCCTGCAACAACAGCCAAAGCAACAGCCATAACAATATGGCCAACGTTCAGTTTTGGGCCAAAAGCGGAAAACGCCTGCACTTCCGTGACACACACACACACACACACACACGGAGTGTGATGGAGGGGTAGCGAGAGAGAGAGAGAAATCGGGGGAGCGTAAGCCATTTTTGGCACATTTTTGCTATGCGGAATAAGGATATGTAGTAGGAAATAAAAGGTATATTGGCTTCAAGGATTCAATCTCTAGAGCGATAGAGATCATAAGGAGAGTTCCATCACGTCACTCCTCCAACAGTGATAACTCAATGGATGCTTGCAACTATTATTTATTATTTGCCACACCGCTTAAAACATTTCAGGAACGAAGATTGGCTAGAAAAGGTTTTCCCTTTGATATTCTTTTGAGTATCTTTTTTGCTCTTCGATTGCCGTTTAATCATTACGATTATTGTGCAATGATTTTGGGTAGTTTTTGCTTTATATATAATTTGCAGAATGCCTGCACTGATTGCTTGTCTTCCCCGCTGCTAGTCGATGTCCTTGACTGCAGCCTATCCCCCCCATTGATGGACTGTTGGGTTTTCAATCAAATGTGTGACTTGTGTAGCCCCCTCCTACATTTCTTTCTATTGCTTTAATGGCAAAATAATATATTTATAAACGCAAAATATACAAAAGGGGTACCGCATATTCCAAACAAAAACGCGTCTCCCCCACCCCCCGCCCAGCGCTTTGTTGCTTTAATGTTTTCCCCGCTGGCAAACGCGACGAGACCCTCTCCAGTGCTTTCTATGCGAATGCGAGTAGTATATGCTCCAGGGAGCGCGAAAAAGCAATGGAAAAATGGCTGCTAGTATCCCGCAAAGGAAGTAGAAGTAGAAGAAGCCGCGTGTAAAATTCATGACGTGCAAAAGAAGGCAACGCTGTGAATATTATGCATTAGTGGCCACATAAAGCCACCCAGCCATGCCCCAACCCCAACCCCAACACGAACTGAGCCCCAACATCAGCCAATGCCACCGCACAATGGCTGCTCCCCCCATCACACAGCAAAATGGTATATTCTTTATGATTTAGGGGAACGCAAGCGGGGGGAAGGGTAGAGCCCTTCGGTAGATTGGTAATTTTTACAACCCACACAGACTGTGCTGCTGCTGCTGATGCTGGCTCTTGCTGTTGGTTTATAACTTTATTTCTGCGCTCTCGCTTTCTCGCTTTGGAGAGGGGCGTGTGGCGTGTCGCGTTCATTTGCAACAGAGACCCCAATAAAATTTACAGCTCCTTGGCCGATTTTGGCACACTCTTAAGGCCTCCCTCCCCTTCCCAACCCATTCCACCACCCATCCCACACTACTATTCTTAGCCATTTCCATCTGTCGTGCAGCACTTCGCTTCCTGCCTGCCTGCCGCTGCTGCTGCTGCCACCTCTCTTTTTGACTTACTTTCTGCTGATTGCACTTGTTTAAGTGGCAACTTTTTGCAGCACTTTATGTTCTCTCCCCCCATCCTCTGCCTGCTGCCCGCTGCCCGACTGTCGCTGTCGCTGTCTTTTGGCTTTTTTGTTTTGGCCACAGAATTGCACTTTCTGTAATGGACATTGCATGTTCAATGCCCAAAGACCAGAGACCACAGCTAGAGTCAGAGTCAGAGCCAGACCCAGAGCCAGAGCTGGGAGGCAGACTTTGGCATAATGTCAGGCATTTTCGTGTAATTTATTTGCCGCCTGCTGTTTAAGATATTTGCCTACCGCTTTTCAATTTACCAATTTTACAGCTGTTTGGGCCATTAAGCCATTGAGATATAAGCAATTGAGATATCACAGTGGTATTAGCCGCGTTGGGCAACTGGCAACGGCTCCTCAATTTGTTCTTTGTTCAAATGTCAACGAGAGACCACTGGCCTGCCTCGCTCTCTCTCTCCTTGCCAGCTCCCCTTCAGGACACTATTCCAATTACTTTTCCTTATACATTTCCTTCCCTGCCCACTCCCCCACTCACCACTGCCCACACACTCCTACCCACCATACACTCAAAGGATCGGACTTCCTTTTTTTTGCTTGTCAACGACTTGAGGATTGCCTGCTGCCGCATGTAGCATGGATGTATTCACATTTGTACATTTGCAACATTTTCCTTGCCCCCATTTAATTGGCACATACAACATTTTGAGTGCCCAATTTTTACCCACACACACACATACACACACACAGGCAGTCACTCCCACTTGTAAACGCCCAGGCAACTACTACTACAGCGCTACAGCGAGAGCTACTGCTGGCCAGAACCAGAACCAGAACCAGAAGCAGTTAACAGTTTGCCAAGGCAGTTTCAAGTGCAGTTTCCTGACTCCGGTTCTGGGACTGCTCGGTCGCTCGGTTGCTCGGTCGCTTGGTGATTTATTTTATGTCAACGTTGACATGTCAAACCATTCAAAGTGGTTTCGCTTCCGTTTAACCCTCATCCCCCCATCCCAAAAAAAAAAAGAAAACCCTACCGAAAAGAAACAAAAGAAGTACGCAACAGCAGCAGCAGCAGCGATAAAGCACGCGATTGCTGTGACATACTTATGTCAGGCACTGTTGTTGTCGTAGAGCAGCGCATACAAAGCTCGTCCTGTGGCTAGGGTTCTGTTCTGACTCGGACTCTGTTCTGCCTTGCCAGCCTCACATTTCTTTCTTTTTGTTGGCTTTTGGTTCCTGTTTGGGGGCGGCTGTCATTTTATATTCTTTCATTTAATCTTTATTTTGGTTTTCATTAACGGCAATTGACTCCCGGGTATTGGCATTGAGTGTGGGTGCTGTGCATAACTTCGTTTTCGTAATGTGTACACTGAGAAAAATTTAAGCCCAAAAAATCAAGCAAAGGAGACAGCAAACTAAAGGAAAAGCTATGCAAAAGGGAACACATCTAAAAGCAGGAATATGCCTCGTACAATATACTCGATTAAGGGAATTTTTCTCTTACATTTTAATATACTTTTTGTTTTGTTTTATGGGCCATTTAAATATAAACATAGCTATTGACACTACTAAATCCCATCTAAACGTAGGTATTTGTATATTCTTAGTATTCTATATTATATATTCTACATATATATATTCTATATTCTTAAGAATATTTCAAACATAATTTAGAAGTCGTTAATTCATTTATTTGGGTACTTTATTTAATCATTTCAGATTGAAATTATGTTCAATGGAAAAATTTGCTTAATGTTGCATTTTTGTCGCTAAATGTCTAAATTGTTTTTTTTTTTTTTTCTTTTTTTGTCAGAGCTTCCACACACGAATTGTTTTAAGCTGCAATTGTACGAGTATATCTGGAAATCATTTGAGCACAACGAATATGCCACAAAATATATGCACAAACTTCAATTGAAGTTTCCCCAGTTTCCCCTACCATTTTCTTGCAGTGTTTTTCTGCATTACATTTCCTCTGTTGTGATGTGTTTGTGTGTGTGAATATTTATTGTCAGATTGTCGCCTTGTTCAAAAGGGCCTGACGAGGAGGCATCATCATCATCGATAACAAAGCCTGTTGACTGTTTGGCCTCCTCCTGCTCTGGCTCTGGCTCGGGCTCTTACACTCTCCCACACACTCTTTCTCTTTTGCCCACTCATTTTTCTTTGCCACTCTCTCTCTCCACTCGTGCTCTCTGCTTCCCTTTCTTGAGCTGCCTCTTTGCTTGCCCTGCTTTGCAGCCATTTTTAATCCTTTTGTAAGGCGACACATTTGAGAAATTGACTTGGCCTTCGCCTACCCCCCCCCCCCCCAGACCACTTTCCATCGCTACTTGCTCAACGTCTACTTTCCTTTCAATTGGCTTCTGTTTTCAGTGACTTTTGTGTTGGCTTTTCTTAACACAATTGAACCTTTACTTTACTTTTCTTTACTTAACTTTTTATTTATTGTTTGTTATTTATGCCTCTTGGCCTTAGGGGGCATTTCCTTTGCCAACCCTCCCATCCCCTGTGGAATTTCCCATTCAATTGTTTTTCTTGTATTCAAAATTCTGCTGATAATATTCGCGTGCCTGTTGTGTGTGATGCCGCAGCTGCTTCTGCTGCTATTTATTTTATTATTTTACAGCCAGTTGTAAAAAAGTTTAATTATTGATGGAGCCACATCCTATAAGGAAGGAAGGACCCCGCCATTTGAAGGACTTCTTACCTCCATAGACGACGCAGGTGACCTCCAGGCTGCCGCCCTCTTCATAGGGTCCTGCCCTCGAATCGATTCTCATGCGGCGCTCATTAAATATATTCGGCTGCATCGGTGGCACTGTACGAAACAGAAACAGACACAGAAAGGTAATGGAATTTAATTAGTATAATTAACCATCATTTAACAGGAGAGCTTCAAAGGGAATCCCTTTTTTTTGCTCCCATATTAGTTGCAATGATTTCTGACATTCGCCAGCCAGCCGCAAATCGGAAACAATTTTCACCGAGATTTTTCAATTGCACAAACAAACAACTGAACTGTCAAAGGGTTTCGTTCTGTTTAATATACGCGTAAATGTATATATTTATGTATTTATATGCTTTTATGCTATTTATGGGCATTCGAATAATAAATTGTAAGTTTTGCGGCTAACCAGAAAATCATTTCAGCTAATTTATATCGCAAACGCGTGTTTGCTCTCCTCACAAAAACAAAATGTTAATTGCTTTTATAATCGTTTCTGGCTGCAAAATAAATACATCCATACATACATATATGCATACCTACACATATTTATTTATTTATGCTACCGTATTAATATGGGGTGTTTTTTCAAGCGGAAAATTGTTTGATTGAGATACACCGAAAAATCAGAGGCAAACTTTGAACATTTTTAACCGTCTGAAATTATCTTTGGATTTGGTTAGGGATTTTTTAAAAATCAATATCAATCACCAAATGAATTTTAAACATATACAAAATTGTATTGAAAAGCGATTGAAATCGATTTTATCAGTATCTTAGAGAATAATGTATCTAAATCGTGATTTCATCATAAATATCATTGTTAAAATATCAAAAAATATTTCTTTAAATATTCTGCTAATAACACTAGTCAACACGAGAACTAGGCTGTGGCCCAAAATGACTTTTTCTTATTGATTTCGGGGTTTAAAAATTTTTAATGAATTATGGTTTTATTTTGTGCTGTAGTTTTTTTTTAAAGAATTTTTTAAATCTGTTATTTTTTTAATGTTTTTTTTCAGAGGTAGTGCTTCTATTTTTCACATAACTTAAGTGTCTTATATCTGGTTGCATAGAACTTTGCAGTTCTGAAAAGCTGACAAATGCAGCTATAAATCCAACCCAGACTCTTTGTATCTGCAGCTTTTTATTTTGACTTTAAATACTCGACAAAAGTCGAAAAAAAATTAAGGTAAATTAAGGTTTAAGGTATTGCTCATTAAAATCTATTATAAACGGTCAACTTGCAGCCGTTTGACCAAAACGACTCAAAAATAATTTTAAAAATTTTGGTTCACAGCCTAAATAAAAAGTACAATTTTGTCGAGTAGTGGGATATTCCGTTATCGATTTTTATCGATAAAAACAAATTTTCAATTATCAATCGATTTATATCATATTTATATTTATTTTCAATTATCTCTCGATAGAATGGAAATGAGTTTAGCGATAAATTGCAAAAACATACGCTCAACATTTGGATTTGGATTTATCTAATTAAGTTGCGAATTTTTTCGAATGTTTTTCTGTTAAACATAAATATTCGATGCTGCAAATCGTATTGTTTAATCGATTAAAAATCGTTTTGTGAATGGTCATCTCTCATTTTGTATTTTGTATACGCACCGACAACCTCCAAATTGACATTGCTGTTGCGGGTCTGTGATAGCTTGAAGTCCACGCGACAGCGAAAGTTGCCCGCATCCTTTTCCTGGAAAGGAAACCCACGTAGAAAATTTCAATTATAAAATTCAATGTGGTTGACACTTTTCCGGCGCAGAGTTGGGGAAGACAGGCTTACCTTAACCGGATTTATAGTCAATTCCGCTGGCTCCTTGTGCGTGCGAAAGACGGCCCGATTCTCGAGGACCTCCTCGTCTCGCCAATGCGATGGTGTGCCCGCGTGGGCGCCACGTGTGTCATAGCTGTCAAAAAAAAGAAAAAGATAAAGAAGAAAAAGGATTGAGTTACAGGAATGAACTTGTTGTTTGGGGTTTCGATTTTTGACCTACCTGTAAATGGGTAAATTATTCTTGTACCAAACAACCAGCAGGACTTTGTCATCGGGCAGACTGGAGCCCACATCGCATTTGATTTCGGCCGAGCTGTTCACCAAAACACGCAGGATTTCGCCATCTAAAACGAGCAGAAGAATGATAGAGAGAGAGAAAATATGAGAAACGAGTGCAGAAAGAGTTCACTTCACGGAAAATTCGTTTACTTCTTTTGCTGGGTGCTGGCAAAGGAGAAGTCAATTTTTCTTTTGGCAAATTGATTTTCAAGTGGCTGCTGCAACAATTTGTCAGAAAATAGAAATAAAATAAAATCCAGCCACGCCCACAAACAATCATTTACGCCCCCCTACACAAGCCATAGTTTATGAAAGTTTTGGTAAAAGATTTTGTGATAAACTTGTTTTTGGTGCGAGAAAAAATATGAAATATTTTCGTATTTTCTGGCAGCCATTCAACGGATTTTGGTTGCTGGTTCCAAATGTGGCAAAGCTTTTGGCTAACCAACAGAATGGTTGTTTCTTCCCCTGCACCTCTCTTTCTCACTCTCTCTCTGTCTCTAATTAGCCAAAATCTGACCAAGTTCGTTGCATTCGCACCATTTGGCTAAGCTTTAAAATATCGATCGATCTGCGGCTGGCAAAATGAAAACCAAAAATAGCCCAAAAATCGTACAAACAAAATCAGAGCAGCAATCGCTAGGGGAGTGGAGTAGAAGGTAGAATGGAGGGGGGGACGGCGGACGAGGGTACAATGGAGTGGCAGATGAAGAGCATTAGAGAGGGAGATGGGCAGATAGTTAAAGTGAGAGATGGACACCGAGTTGGAGTGGGCGAGGGAGAGGATGAAGCGGTGCGACGGCGACCACCGCATAATGCTGCAAAAACAAAATAGCGCAAAAAAAAAAAAAAAAAAAAAAATTACAGGCAAAACCCGGCAAAAGCTGCCACACGTTGCAAGCTTAGAGTGCTGGCTGCGAGCGGCGGGATGGGGGAATGGGGGAACGGGCACGGGTCTAGAGAGTGATGGCCAGGGGTTAGTGGCAAAACGAGGCTTAGGGGTGATTACCCAGCCACATGCGGATTACAAAATGGCCGCCATTTTCGTGTTATGCTCCTGGCCGCCGGCCGCCTTTCCACACTTTTCCGCAACCATTTCCACAGTGTGTGTGTGTGTTTATGCGGTAAAAATGCAATGGGAAATGCGTGTGGCATGGAAAAAACCATAGAGAGGCAGGCAGTAGGCAGGCAGCAGGCAGGCAGTCAGCAGGCTAAAGCAAATACGAGAGAGATGCTAAAAATAAAGTGAAATGATGGACACAGCGAAACCCCATAACGGAGAGAGAGAGAGTATTAGCGAGGGAGAAGCGTAGCAGGGAGTTTGAATTAGAAATATAATCAAAGGACAAGGGCAGCCCTTCATGGCTTAGAGACTATTAGAAATAGAACCAAATGGGCTATCCCCTTATTCCTAACAGTTCCATGGCACTTCCACCATGGAAATCTATGTGAAAACTCTACGAATATTTACAAATTCTAAACATTTATTTTCTTTGGGGTAAGTTAAACCAAAAGTAGGCGCTACAGCAGCGTTGACGTTTCTGCAGCCAACGGCACTCGTCAGCAACTTTTAAATGTCGCCTGATTTTTCCATAAATAAAACCAAAATTAAAACCATAGAGAAATATTATTTAAAATCAATATTTCGCTGGCTCATAAAACTGCAATCAATTTGGAGCTATATCTTTGAGACTTTATTTTGTATAAACTTCACTTAAAGTTAACATTTCTGGGTAAATACTCGAAATAAAGTGAATTATTAGCCCCAAAAAAAATAAACACAAAGCTGCTGAAAACTGTTCAAGTCTGCCGCCACTTGAAAAATAAATAATAATAAGAATAATAAAGAAATAAAATAAATAAGTAAGGCACGTTTTGCCTCGAATAGTAAAGAAATAGGCAGCTACTGTAACTTTAATCCATTGACGAGTTTGTACATCGTTTGACTTCTGACTTCTATAGGTTTATTCGCCCCCCATTCCATTCTTATCGTGGGCTGCTCTTTGGGGTACTTTCATTCGACCGACAGCCAGCGACAAGTGCCACAAATGGCAGCCATAGCCAGCGTCACGTGTGCTTCTCCTGCAGCGCTCCTGCTGCTGCTGCTGCTGCCACTCAGCCTCATCCCAGTGGATGGTAAACGCCTTTGGCAGAGCTTTTGTTTCTAATTTTGCACTTGTGTGCGCAATGTGGCCGCAAAAGGCCTACACATGGTAAGGAGTCCGCACTAAAGCCCCACGCCACGAGAAAGAGAGAGAGAGGCAGGGATAGGCAGTAGAAGCAGAGTCCTGAGGCTACACTTCCACTTTGTGTCGACGACAACAAAATGGAAGTGAACCTAAGCGTACACACACACACACACACACACACACAGACGACACATAGAAGGACAGAACGGCAGAACGACAGACCACATGATAAATAATCGATAAATTATGTGGACACATGTTTAATCTAGCATAAAATGGAATCATTTCCCTTCAATTTGTTGTTAGCCAGGCCAAAACAAGGGGGCAGCAACAACAACAAGCAGCCAACAGATGTGTTTTAGCTTGGATTGACAGTGGCAGGAGGTGGGTGGTGTGAGGTGGGTGGCAGCCAGTCAGACCTATTTAAATATAAATAATGATCAAATTATAAATGCCAGCGAGTGTCGTCTGCCTAAGTCTGCTTGCCCCTGTCCCCTGTCCACTGTCCCATGCCCCCCATGTTAATGCTGCCAAATGTTTGCTCTACACTAAATTATTGCGCATACGCCCCATGTTAACGGACAGCGAGACGGAGCGTCTCGTCTCGGCTCGTCTGCAGACATTCATCATTTTGCTTAATTGTCTGCCAAACATTACAACGACAGGTTCTACGAGAATGTTCGAAAATGTTGATGAGAGCAAAGGACAGACAGGGACCTGGTCGACTACTGTCTGCAGTTGCTTAATTAATATTTTAATTCATTGGGAGATGGGCCCTGAAATGCCAATGTCATGTGCAGCGCCACAGAGACAGCAGCAAACAGCCGCAGGTAAAAGCTTCATCACAGGCACAGGAGGCACAGGCACAGGAGACACAGGAACAGGAGTCACAGTCACAGGAGTCACAGGAGTCACAGGCACAGGAGTCGCAGACACAGGAGTCGAAGGCACAGGAGTCACAGGAGTCACAGGCACAGGAGTCACAGGCACAGGAGTCGCAGACACAGGAGTCGCAGGCACAGGAGTCACAGGCACAGGAGTCACAGGCACAGGCACAGGCACAGGCACAGTCACAGCCTCCGGATGTAGCCACAGTATGGCGACACACTTTAAAGGAGGGAATAAAACCTCAGGCAGCTACTGGAAGCTAAAGATTTCCCTTCCACAGTCTTTCAAGCACACCAAAAATCCCCCCAAAGCCAGTCGTAGCTCCCCATTAACCGCTGAACTTTTTCCCATATTTATTTACAGCCCAACATATCCCCCAACAACATCTTTCTATGTCTGCATCAGCATGAGCACTGCCTTTGTGGCTTAATTATGTGCTTCAGAGTCATGCCCATGCCCATGCCCATGCCCGACCAAAATAGTTATCCCAATTATAGTCACATCTCTGCCACAATTCTCACATTGTTTTCCCCAACGAGACGAGACGAGACGAGACAAAAGCAGCAGCGTCTCAGCGTTCCAGCAGCGACACTGACAATGACTGCTACATGCCTCATGCTCCATGCTCCATGCTCCATGCTCCACCATAACAATGGCACACTGCCACACTGCCTCGCTACACTTGTTTGTAGTTTTTGCCCACCTCCCCCACACCACCCCACTCCACATTACGCCTCTTTGGCCTTAATGTAATTGAACTTTTTTCTAATTGACACTTGTCACTGGCAAAGACATTTAAAAAAGAAAACAAATAAAAAGATAAACAACAAGAGGAAGAAGAAATAAACTTAATTTTGACGCATTTACACATACATTTATTTCAATTTCCCTAACAACAAAAGAAGCCAGCAGCAGCAGCAGCAGCAGCCGCACCAGCAAGCACACAAACGAAACAATGGGCTACACACACACAGACACAGATACAGTGGCAGTAGCAGCAGCAGCAGCAGCAAACAAACAAATGAAAACTGAAGCAAGTTGTAGGACAATGAAAGGCGTCCCAGACCCTCACACACAATGGCAGGGAGAAGGAGAGAGCCAGTAGAGAGCCCGTAGAAGAAAGGGGCGACACGAATCCTAGTGGTTGCAGTTACCGCAAAGAAAAAGCTGCTGGAGTTGCTGCTGCTGCTGGTGCTGCGGCACACAGGTAACACAGTGGCGTGTGTGGAGTGGCAGAATGGAGTCCTTGGCAACGACAGGCAAAAGAAGAAGCAGGCAGGCAGCAGAAGAGGCAGGCAGGCAGCAGAAGAGGCAGGCAGGCAGGCGCTGGAGCAGTGGCAGGGCGTGGGCGGCACAACTAAATACAAAAACCACGTGACAATGTTTTCTCTCCCTCGAAAGAGAGGAAAAAAAGCGGTAGGGAGTCTTGCCTGAGTGTGGGAAAGGAAGTGGAGGATTCCGTTTGAATGCCAGACATTACAACGGGTGTGGAGTGTGGAGTGTGGGTGCGGGTGCGTAGCATACACACAGTTGGGGGGCGGTTGTTGAGGCAGGCAGTCAACTGTGTGTCGCATTTGCCACATTCGCAGAATGGCAACCGCAGCTCTGGCTACGGCACTGAATGTTGCATCAAGCTGTGAGGAGGAGGAGCAGCAGCAGCAGCAGCAGCAGCAACCGAACGACAAATGGCAGATGGGAGACCGAGACACACGTTCTCCGTGATAAAAGATAACTAGGATAACGATTGATTGCGGGAATGCAAGGATGGGTGTTTAAAAGGTTCAAAGGTGCACAGCTCACAGCAAAGAATATTTAAGTTACGTTTTGGGTTGCTTTGGATTTAATCTTTTGCTTTTGCTGCTTTTTTTTGGTGGTGGGGCCACAAACATTGCATGGGAATTGTGGCACATGTCAGTGCACTTCGTTAAATCGAATAACAAGAGACGAGAACAGCACGAGAACAACAGCTAAAATAACACAAACACACA